GTATGGTACTGTAGAGAGGTGTATGGTACTGTAGGACAGGTGTATGGTACTGAAGGACAGGTGTATGGTACTGTATGACAGGTGTACGATACTGTAAGACAGGTGTATGGTACTGTAGGACAGGTGTATGATTCTGTAGACAGGTGTATGGTACTGTAGGACAGGTGTGTGGTACTGCAAATAGGTGTATGATACTGTAGACAGGTGTATGGTACTGTAGACAGGTGCATGATACTGTAGAACAGGTGTATGGTACTGTAGGACAGGTGCATGGTACTGTAGGACAGGTGTATGATACTGTAGGACAGGTGTATGGTACTGTAGGACAGGTGTATGATACCTGTAGGACACGTGTATGGTACTGTAGACAGGTATGTGTTACTGTAGACAGGTGTATGATACTGTAGAACAGGTGTATGGTACTGTAGATAGGTGTATGGTACTGTAGAACAGGTGTAGGGTACTGTAGACAGGTGTATGGTACTTTAGGACATGTGTATGGTACTGAAGGACAGGTGTATGGTACAGTAGGACAGGTGTATGGTACTGAAGGACAGGTGTATGGTACTGTAGGACAGGTGTATGGTACTGAAGGACAGGTGTATGGTACAGTAGGACAGGTGTATGGTACTGAAGGACAGGTGTATGGTACAGTAGGACATGTGTATGGTACTGAAGGACAGGTGTATGGTACAGTAGGACAGGTGTATGGTACTGAAGGACAGGTGTATGGTACAGTAGGACAGGTGTATGGTACTGAAGGACAGGTGTATGGTACAGTAGGACAGGTGTATGGTACTGAAGGACAGGTGTATGGTACAGTAGGACAGGTGTATGGTACTGAAGGACAGGTGTATGGTACAGTAGGACAGGTGTATGGTACTGAAGGACAGGTGTATGGTACAGTAGGACAGGTGTATGGTACTCACCTCTGCGGCTTCAGCATCCGGCTGCACACCTGTGGTCGCTGTGGCCTGCCTTCTCTCCCCTCTCAGTGTCTCTCCCCTCAGTGTCTCTCACTCTCCCTCGCTAAGCAAGAACTAAACATTCCACCACTTAAACATTTCCTTGTATAAGACGGCTAATCACTCAAGAATTATCACGCGCGAAGTATCTGTATGTGGAGTAATTTGGCGGGGTATTGTTCGCTCTTGTGGGATCAGGTCCAAACTGGAACAAAGTGGAGGCGAGATGCGGAGCGCGGGTGATGGACGCGCCCCACGGCGGCACGGAGGTGAGTGAGGCGGCAGGTGGAGCCCAGTGTGGCGGCGGTTGTGGCGGGGGGCGGGCCCCCTGGCGGTGGTTGTCGCGGGGGGGCGGGCCCCCTGGCGGCGGTTGTGGCGGGGCGCGGGCCCCCTGGCGGCGTCGACGGCCTGGGGCTGGCGGGGCTGGAAAACCATCGCCACTGTGGGAAGGGCAGCAGTACCACCCTCCTCCTCCCCCGCCCCGCCTACACACAACACTCCCGCCAACTGCCCCACCACTAACAATCATTGCTTTAATCTTTGGCCAACATTCTTGTTGTGGGTAGTAACCTGCACCAGCCGATGGTGATTACCACTATACTTCCCCATCACAGTCATACAGGCGTACATAACATTCTCTCCGGCGTATTTTGGTACAACAACTTGTACTTGAGACTTGAGACAACTTGAGACAGTTAAGCAAGTCCCAGCTGTGTCTGGGTACAAGTGACAGGATGAACAACCCAGCGGGTTTTCTTCCTATTGGGGAGTGTTGTACATGCTGCTATGGCGGTGTGTCCACTCACAGGATGAGTGGCGCTGCTCAATACTGTCACTATGGCGGTGTGTCCACTCACAGGATGAGTGGCGCTGCCCAATACTGTCACTATGGCGGTGTGTCCACTCACAGGATGAGTGGCGCTGCCCAATACTGTCACTATGGCGGTGTGTCCACTCACAGGATGAGTGGCGCTGGCCAATACTGTCACTATGGTGGTGTGTCCACTCACAGGATGAGTGGCGCTGCCCAATACTGTCACTATGGCGGTGTGTCCACTCACAAGATGAGTGGCGCTGGCCAATACTGTCACTATGGTGGTGTGTCCACTCACAGGATGAGTGGCGCTGCCCAATACTGTCACTATGGCGGTGTGTCCACTCACAAGATGAGTGGCGCTGCCCAATACTGTCACTATGGCGGTGTGTCCACTCACAGGATGAGTGGCGCTGCCCAATACTGTCACTATGGTGGTGTCCACTCACAGGATGAGTGGCGCTGCCCAATACTGTCACTATGGTGGTGTGTCCACTCACAGGATGAGTGGCGCTGCCCAATACTGTCACTATGGTGGTGTGTCCACTCACAGGATGAGTGGCGCTGCCCAATACTGTCACTATGGTGGTGTGTCCACTCACAGGATGAGTGGCGCTGCCCAATACTGTCACTATAGTGGTGTGTCCACTCACAGGATGAGTGGCGCTGCCCAGTACTGTCACTATGGCGGTGTGTCCACTCACAGGATGAGTGGCGCTGCCCAATACTGTCACTATGGCGGTGTGTCTACTCACAGGATGAGTGGCGCTGCCCAATACTGTCACTATAGTGGTGTGTCCACTCACAGGATGAGTGACGCTGCCCAATACTGTCACTATGGCGGTGTGTCCACTCACAGGATGAGTGGCGCTGCCCAATATTGTCACTATGGCGGTGTGTCCACTCACAGGATGAGTGGCGCTGCCCAATACTCTCACTATGGCGGTGTGTCCACTCACAAGATGAGTGGCGCTGCCCAGTACTGTCACTACGGTGGTGTGTCCACTCACAGGATGAGTGGCGCTGACCAATGCTGTCACTATGGTGGTGTGTCCACTCACAGAATGAGTGGCGCTGCCCAATACTGTCACTATGGTGGTGTGTCCACTCACAAGATGAGTGGCGCTGCCCAATACTGTCACTATGGCGGTGTGTCCACTCACAGGATGAGTGGCGCTGCCCAGTACTGTCACTATGGCGGTGTGTCCACTCACAGGATGAGTGACGCTGCCCAATACTGTCACTATGGCGGTGTGTCCACTCACAGGATGAGTGGCGCTGCCCAATACTGTCACTATGGCGGTGTGTCCACTCACAGGATGAGTGACGCTGCCCAGTACTGTCACAATGGCGGTGTGTCCACTCACAAGATGAGTGGCGCTGCCCAATACTGTCACTATGGCGGTGTGTCCACTCACAGGATGAGTGGCGCTGCCCAATACTGTCACTATGGCGGTGTGTCCACTCACAGGATGAGTGGCGCTGCCCAATACTGTCATTATGGCGGTGTGTCCACTCACAAGGTGAGTGGCGCTCGCCAATACTGTCACTATGGCGGTGTGTCCACTCACAGGATGAGTGGCGCTGCCCAATACTGTCACTATGGCGGTGTGTCCACTCACAGGATGAGTGGCGCTGCCCAATACTGTCACTATGGCGGTGTGTCCACTCACAGGATGAGTGGCGCTGCCCAATACTGTCACTATGGTGGTGTGTCCACTCACAGGATGAGTGGCGCTGCCCAATACTGTCATTATGGCGGTGTGTCCACTCACAAGGTGAGTGGCGCTCGCCAATACTGTCACTATGGCGGTGTGTCCACTCACAGGATGAGTGGCGCTGCCCAATACTGTCACTATGGCGGTGTGTCCACTCACAGGATGAGTGGCGCTGGCCAATACTGTCACTATGGCGGTGTGTCCACTCACAGGATGAGTGGCGCTGGCCAATACTGTCACTATGGTGGTGTGTCCACTCACAGGATGAGTGACGCTGCCCAATACTGTCACTATGGCGGTGTGTCCACTCACAGGATGAGTGGCGGTGCCCAGTACTGTCACTATGGCGGTGTGTCCACTCACAGGATGAGTGGCGCTGCCCAATACTGTCACTATGGCGGTGTGTCCACTCACAGGATGAGTGGCGCTGCCCAATACTGTCACTATGGCGGTGTGTCCACTCACAGGATGAGTGGCGCTGCCCAATACTGTCACTATGGCGGTGTGTCCACTCACAGGATGAGTGGCGCTGCCCAATACTGTTACTATGGTGGTGTGTCCACTCACAAGGTGAGTGGCGCTCGCCAATACTGTCACTATGGCGGTGTGTCCACTCACAGGATGAGTGGCGCTGCCCAATACTGTCACTATGGGGGTGTGTCCACTCACAGGATGAGTGGCGCTGCCCAATACTGTCACTATGGCGGTGTGTCCACTCACAGGATGAGTGGCGCTGCCCAATACTGTCACTATGGCGGTGTGTCCACTCACAGGATGAGTGGCGCTGGCCAATACTGTCACTATGGTGGTGTGTCCACTCACAGGATGAGTGACGCTGCCCAATACTGTCACTATGGCGGTGTGTCCACTCACAGGATGAGTGGCGGTGCCCAGTACTGTCACTATGGCGGTGTGTCCACTCACAGGATGAGTGGCGCTGCCCAATACTGTCACTATGGGGGTGTGTCCACTCACAGGATGAGTGGCGCTGCCCAATACTGTCACTATGGCGGTGTGTCCACTCACAGGATGAGTGACGCTGCCCAATACTGCCACTATGGTGGTGTGTCCACTCACAGGATGAGTGACGCTGCCCAATACTGTCACTACGGTGGTGTGTCCACTCACAGGATGAGTGACGCTGCCCAATAAACTCGTCCCTCGCGGCAAAATTTAAAACAAAAAATCAGAACCCGTGTTACCTCCGCCGTCCTCTGAGACTGTGGCCTCATACCACATCCTCCACCATTAAAGACAGACTCAACAACCAACCACACATAAGGAATAACCATCAAGGAGGAGGTCATTCCTTGTGACCTCATCATCCTCCATATGACCCTGTTCCTACCCCGCCATCATGCTCCTGACTCCCCTCCTCCACGCTCCAATCCCTCCTCCATCATACTCCCTCCCCTACAGCCATCATGCTCCTGTCCCCCCTCCACCATGGTTCTTCCCCTGGAGAAGACTGGCTAAAGAGAAAGAAGCGAAGACTTCCCATACTGGGTGAGACACAGGGATAAGCAGGAAACAGATCAAGGACCCGTGTGTCCGTGGTAGTGATGGCCCCGTTAAGGTCCCGTGTGTCCGTGGTAGTGATGGCCCCGTTAAGGTCCCGTGTGTCCGTGGTAGTGTTAGCCCCGTTAAGGTCCCGTGTGTCCGTGGTAGTGATGGCCCCGTTAAGGTCCCGTGTGTCCGTGGTAGTGATGGCCCCGTTAAGGTCCCGTGTGTCCGTGGTAGTGTTAGCCCCGTTAAGGTCCCGTGTGTCCGTGGTAGTGTTGGCCCCGTTAAGGTCCCGTGTGTCCGTGGTAGTGTTGGCCCCGTTAAGGTCCCGTGTGTCCGTGGTAGTGTTAGCCCCGTTAAGGTCCCGTGTGTCCGTGGTAGTGTTAGCCCCGTTAAGGTCCCGTGTGTCCGTGGAAGTGTTAGCCCCGTTAAGGTCCCGTGTGTCCGTGGTAGTGTTAGCCCCGTTAAGGTCCCGTGTGTCCGTGGTAGTGTTGGCCCCGTTAAGGTCCCGTGTGTCCGTGGTAGTGTTAGCCCCGTTAAGGTCCCGTGTGTCCGTGGTAGTGTTAGCCCCGTTAAGGTCCCGTGTGTCCGTGGTAGTGTTGGCCCCGTTAAGGTCCCGTGTGTCCGTGGTAGTGTTGGCCCCGTTAAGGTCCCGTGTGTCCGTGGTAGTGTTGGCCCCGTTAAGGACCCGTGTGTCCGTGGTAGTGTGAGCCCCGTTAAGGTCCCGTGTGTCCGTGGTAGTGTTGGCCCCGTTAAGGTCCCGTGTGTCCGTGGTAGTGTGAGCCCCGTTAAGGTCCCGTGTGTCCGTGGTAGTGATGGCCCCGTTAAGGTCCCGTGTGTCCGTGGTAGTGTTGGCCCCGTTAAGGTCCCGTGTGTCCGTGGTAGTGTGAGCCCCGTTAAGGTCCCGTGTGTCCTTGGTAGTGTTAGCCCCGTTAAGGTCCCGTGTGTCCGTGGTAGTGTGAGCCCCGTTAAGGTCCCGTGTGTCCTTGGTAGTGTTGGCCCCGTTAAGGTCCCGTGTGTCCGTGGTAGTGTTAGCTCCGTTAAGGTCCCGTGTGTCCGTGGTAGTGTTAGCCCCGTTAAGGTCCCGTGTGTCCGTGGTAGTGTTAGCCCCGTTAAGGTCCCGTGTGTCCGTGGTAGTGTTAGCCCCGTTAAGGTCCCGTGTGTCCGTGGTAGTGTTAGCCCCGTTAAGGTCCCGTGTGTCCGTGGTAGTGTGAGCCCCGTTAAGGTCCCGTGTGTCCTTGGTAGTGTTGGCCCCGTTAAGGTCCCGTGTGTCCGTGGTAGTGTTAGCTCCGTTAAGGTCCCGTGTGTCCGTGGTAGTGTGAGCCCCGTTAAGGTCCCGTGTGTCCTTGGTAGTGTTGGCCCCGTTAAGGTCCCGTGTGTCCGTGGTAGTGTTAGCTCCGTTAAGGTCCCGTGTGTCCGTGGTAGTGTTAGCCCCGTTAAGGTCCCGTGTGTCCGTGGTAGTGTTAGCCCCGTTAAGGTCCCGTGTGTCCGTGGTAGTGTTAGCCCCGTTAAGGTCCCGTGTGTCCGTGGTAGTGTTAGCCCCGTTAAGGGTCTACTTTAGGGCTGATGATCAGTACCTCGAGGGAAGCAGCAGTAGTCACGCACCCCGGTAATAATAGTACTTCTACCACCTATTTGGTCTAACGTTCAAGAGTGGACTGTTGTTCCCAATAAAGTGATCCCAACCACTTGGGCTGGACGGTAGAGCGATGGTCTCGCTTCATGCAGGTCGGCGTTCAATCCCCGACCGTCCAAGTGTTTGGGCGTCATTATCTCCCCCCCCCCCCCGTCCCATCCCAAATCTTTATCCTGACTCCTTCCAAGTGCTATATGATCTAATGGCTTGGCGCTTTCTCCTGATAGTTTCCTTCCCTTCCTAATATAGATCAAGTTCGAACTAAGGAATTACCTCAAAGTTCATACTGGAACAATTTAAAAGTAACTGAAGAACCTTGTAATATAACCAAGCCTTGTCTACCTTGTGCACGCAAGCCTGGGCGGAGTATACTCCGTGTTAGGCCTGTGTCGTGCACGAGTGTGTGCTCTACTAGGCCCAGGGATGTTCATGTTTGACTTGGACTTTTCTTGGACGCTCTCTACAAATTTAATAGTGCAAAATGTGAATGTTGTTGGCTTCAACAGTAAATTTTTCGACGGTGTGACCAAATAGTGTTTATAAGTACTATCATTTAAGCGGGATGGGTTCCGCTTGTGGGTGGGGAGTGGGCTGAGTCCGTGTCACACACCTACACTTCTCTATCCCAGTAACTTCATCCGGACCGCTCGCCAAATCCCCTTCACCTCCACCACCCCCACCACCCCTCCCTCCACCCCCACCACCCCTCCCTCCACCCCCCCCATACCCCCACCACCCCTCCCTCCACCCCCACCACCCCTCCCTCCACCCCCCCATACCCCCAACCGTTCCCATACATAGAACATACATAGGAGATGTTTTCCGCATACAGAATCAATGCTCTTAACACTAATTGTCAAACTGGTATAGCTTTTCCCTTATTCATATGTTCAGGTTGTGCGTGTTGGTATACATGCGTGTGTGCGTGTTGGTATACATGCGTGTGTGCGTGTTGGTATACATGCGTGTGTGCGTGTTGGTATACATGCGTGTGTGCGTGTTGGTATACATGCGTGTGTGCGTGTTGGTATACATGCGTGTGTGCGTGTTGGTATACATGCGTGTGTGCGTGTTGGTATACATGCGTGTGTGCGTGTTGGTATACATGCGTGTGTGCGTGTTGGTATACATGCGTGTGTGCGTGTTGGTATACATGCGTGCGTACGGTTGTTCTCGCGTATAGTCTTCAATATATGAGGACAAGTGCCCTCGCTCGGCTGCGTTTCTGGGGTTGAATAATGTATATCCTCCGTATGTTTACATTTATATGAGACAATATCCATAATATCTCTCTTTTTTATCTTATTCCGCTTTTTACCTATAAAATGTTCCTTGGTACGTCCCTCTGGCTCATTACAGTGTTCACCTGCCATTTGTGACCCTCGTCTTGCCCCAAGCCCATATCAGTCGGCTTGGGTTGGTAATAATATTTAATATCTAACTATATAATATATAATATCTAACTATAAAATACCTAATATCTTGTCTAATATCTACTATAACTCTCTATTGACGTAGTTCAGTATTATTTGCCCTCTAATTTATTCTACTTAATCACTGAGCTTACCCTAAAGAAGTTCTTCCTGGTATACATGTGATTCATCTTGCTGTCTAACTTCCATTTTATGGACGTTAGCTTCCTCCATGGAAGCTAACGCCCACCAACCAAGCTTCCAGAATGGATGGTTGGTGGGAGCTGCGGTGCCGGAGTTGATGCTGGAGGCGCCGGCGGAGGTAGTGAAAGGTTATGCTTTTTTGAATTCAGCCTCTTTCAAAATTATTTCTTGTCTGCAGGGGCAGCGGTAGGAAATCGCAGAGTGATCGCCTTTGCAGAGTAGGCAGCATCGAGTTTGTGGCTTGCAGATGGAGTGGTGGTGATCCTTGGCGCAGATGCTGCACTTCTGGATGGGATGCTGACACTTGGTGGGGTGAGAGAACTCGTAGCACTTGAAGCACTCTTGTACCTCGTAGATGCGTTTATTCTTCACTCGGTAGGACGGGATCTTGATGCCAAAGCAGTTGATTCCTTGTGTGGTGGCTTGGTTACTTGCGGCTAATAAGGTGAATGTTATTTTCAAAGTTGGACGTTATCCGTCGACCCCACCGAGAAGTGCCCCAGAAAATACCCTCAAGTCCAGGTTTTCATCCTCTGTGCTGGCGTAGATATCATTGGTTTGCTTGTCCGCGATCCATTAGCTGGTCTCGTTCATAAAGACCGTTCTTCCGGCAATGAATTGGTATGGATAATGGTCTCGAAGTGCGCTTCGTGCATGTCAGCCGAGCGAGGTGGAGAATATTTTTAGTCAGTGCAGAGTTCATGGCTGTGAAACGTTGACGACAGTGGCGAGTTTGTGTCATAAGCTCACATGTCGGCTGATTTTCTGTCGTAAATTCGCAAACTGTAGTTGTTAAAAGCTCACAACACTTGATATTTGTGTTTCACGAACTTTCAATATAAGGAAGTTTGGCACCACAGTCCATCTTGGATGGCGGGAAGAAAGAGGAGGGTATACGCTACCCAAGACTTCAGATACGAGACACTGGACGCACTCTTGGAAACATTTTTGCTCAACTATATGTATTTGCAATTAGTTGCGAGAAATTACACTCAAAGCTGATATTAGCACTACTAAAAGTACGAGCATTAGAGCGCTTGTCTACAGCTTTTGAAGAGAACAAACGTTCCTGCTCGATCATTCACGAAGTTATATTAGCAGTAACTACCACCTTCAACAGTGAAGTCCAACGAGGACGTTGGTGGTCACAACTAACGCATGGAGACCTCCAGGTAAGGTACTCCCCAAGTTGAGCTTACGGGGGTTGAACGATTCGTGGAGACCAAGGCTCGACTCCTTGGTCCCTACTCCACACTGCCAGTCAACTGGTGTTCAAGCTCCTGACCCTGTTGCTCTCTGACATATACACATTTGAAACTGTTTATGAAGTCTGCGGTGTACACCACCTCAGTTCCTATAGCACATTCCATTTGTTCACGACTTTAGCCCTGAAATTTCTTCTGTCTCAGTGGCTCATTCGGGTAATCAGTTTTCACCTGTGTCCCCCTAGTTCGTGTTCCACCTGTGATAATAAAAACATTTTTTATCTACTCAGTGACTCCCATGACTCTTCAGTCTTCCAGTGACGTGAGGTTTAATTTCAATAGCCTTCAGTCGTAGTTAATATCTCTCCGCTCAGGGACTTGTCTGGTGGCATGCCTCTCAACTTTAGGTTCGTCTTGTCTTTCACTCGAAATAGACTCCACACTGTAGCCGCTTACTCCAGGATGTGTGTGTGTGTGTGTGTGTGTGTGTGTGTGTGTGTGTGTGTGTGTGTGTGTGTGTGTGTGTGTGTGTGTGTGTGTGTGTGTGTGGGTGTGTGTGTGTGTGTGTGTGTGTGTGTGTGTGTGTGTGTGTGTGTGTGTGTGTGTTTACTAGTTGTGTTTTTGCGGGGGTTGAGCTCTGCTCTTTCGGCCCGCCTCTCAACTGTCAATCAACTGTTTACTAACTACTTTTTTTTTTTTTTACCACACCACACACACACACACCCCAGGAAGCAGCCCGTGACAGCTGACTAACTCCCAGGTACCTATTTACTGCTAGGTAACAGGGGCACTTAGGGTGAAAGAAACTTTGCCCATTTGTTTCTGCCTCGTGCGGGAATCGAACCCGCGCCACAGAATTACGAGTCCTGCGCGTTATCCACCAGGCTACCAGGCCCCTGTGTGTGTGTGTGTGTGTGTGTGTGTGTGTGTGTGTGTGTGTGTGTGTGTGTGTGTGTGTGTGTGTGTGTGGGTGTGGGTGTGTGTGTGTGTGTGTGTGTGCGTGTGTACTTACCTAATTGTGTTTGCGGGGGTTGAGCTCTGGTTCTTTGGTCCCGCCTCTCAAACGTCAATCAACAGGTGTACAGGTTCCTGAGCCTATTGGGCTCTATCATATCTACACATGAAACTGTGTATGGAGTCAGCCTCCACCACATCACTTCCTAATGCATTCCATTTGTCAACCACTCTGACACTAAAAAAGTTCTTTCTAATATCTCTGTGGCTCATTTGGGCACTCAGTTTCCATCTGTGTCCCCTTGTGCGTGTGCCCCTTGTGTTAAATAGCCTGTCTTTATCTACCCTATCAATTCCCATGACTCTCTGCTTCCTATTGCTCAGGTACTCCCTTATCCACTGGAGCACCGTACCAGTTACACCTGCCTGTCTCTCCAGCTTATGTACCAGCCTCTTATGCGGTACTGTGTCAAAGGCTTTCCGACAATCCAAGAAAATGCAGTCCGCCCAACCTTCTCTTTCTTGCTTAATCTTTGTCACCTGGTCGTAGAATTCTATTAAGCCAGTCAGGCAAGATTGACCCTCCCTGAATCCATGCTGGCGATTTGTCACGAAGTCCCTTCTCTCCAGATGTGTTACCAGGTTTTTTCTCACGATCTTCTCCATCACCTTGCATGGTATACAAGTCAAGGACAGTGGCCTGTAGTTCAGTGCCTCTTGCCTGTCGCCCTTTTTGTATATTGGGACCACATTCGCCGTTTTCCATATTTCTGATAGGTCTCCCGTCTCCAGTGACTTACTAAACACTATGGAGAGTGGCAAGCAAAGTGCCTTTGCACACTCTTTCAGTACCCATGGCGAGATCTTGTCTGGACCAACAGCCTTTCTAACATCCAGATCCAGCAGGTGTCTCTTGACCTCCTCTCTCGTAACTTCGAAATCTTCCACGGCCGCCTGGTTTACCTCCCTTTCTCCTAGCACAGTGACCACTCTGTTTGCGAAAGTGAATTTTCTTATATTTCTTCGGCATCTGTGTTTAGCTAGTTTAAATCTATGACCTCTTGTTCTTAAAGTTCCAGGTCTCAAGAAATCTTCCCTATCGATTTTATCAATTCCTGTTACTATTTTGTATGTAGTGATCATATCACCTCTTTTTCTTCTGTCTTCTAGTTTTGGCATATTTAATGCCTCTAACCTCTCCTCGTAGCTCTTGCCCTTCAGCTCTGGGAGCCACTTAGTAGCATGTCTTTGCACTTTTTCCAGTTTGTTGATGTGCTTCTTAAGATATGGGCACCACACAACCGCTGCATATTCTAGCTTTGGCCTAACAAAAGTCGTGAACAATTTCTTTAGTATATCGCCATCCATGTATGTAAAAGCAATTCTGAAGTTAGAAAGCGTGGTATAGGCTCCTCGCACAATATTTTTTATGTGGTCCTCAGGTGATAGTTTTCTATCTAGAACCACCCCTAGATCTCTTTCTTTATCAGAATTCTTTAAAGATTTCTCACATAATATATAGGTTGTGTGGGGTCTATGTTCTCCTATTCCACATTCCATAACATGGCATTTATTAACATTAAATTCCATTTGCCAAGTGGTGCTCCATATACTTATTTTGTTCAGGTCATCTTGAAGGGCACGACAATCATCTAAGTTTCTTATCCTTCCTATTATCTTAGCATCATCAGCAAACATGTTCATATAATTCTGTATACCAACTGGTAGATCATTTATGTACACAATAAACATCACTGGTGCAAGAACTGAACCCTGTGGTACTCCACTTGTGACATTTCTCCAGTCCGATACATTGCCTCTGATCACTGCCCTCATTTTTCTATCAGTCAGAAAATTTTTCATCCATGTTAGAAGCTTACCTGTCACCCCTCCAATATTTTCCAGTTTCCAGAACCTCTTATGTGGAACTCTGGCGAAAGCCTTTTTTAGGTCCAGATAGATGCAGTCAACCCAACCATCTCTTTCCTGTAATATCTCTGTTGCTCGATCATAGAAACTCAGTAAAATCGATACACAGGATCTTCCAGATCGAAAACCATACTGTCTGTCTGATATTATATCATTTCTCTCCAGGTGTTCATTTAGTTTTAATTATTTTTCCAATATTTTGACTATTACACTTGTCAATGATACCGGTCTATAATTAAGGGGGTCTTCCCTGCTTCCACTTTTGTAGATTGGAACTATGTTAGCCTTTTTCCACACATCAGCTACAACTCCTGTAAACAGGGATGTCTGAAAAATCAGTTGAAGAGGAATGCTGAGCTCAGGTGCACATTCTCTCAGAACCCATGGTGAAACTCCATCTGGACCAACTGCTTTGTTCTTATTTAGCTCCTTGAGCATTTTGTCCACTTCGTCTCTAGACACCTCTATGTGCTCTATGTTGTTCCCTGGAATTCTTATTGTATCTGGTTCCCTGAAGATTTCATTTTGTACAAACACACTTTGGAACTTTTCGTTTAATGTTTCACACATTTCCTTTTCATTTTCCGTGAATCTATTTCCCATTTTCAACCTCTGAATATTATCCTTTACCTGCAATTTTTTGTTTATGAATTTATAGAATAGACCTGGTTCTGTTTTACAGAACCAGGTCTGTTGTCTGCAATCCCTTTTTCAAAATTTCTTTCTGCCTCTCTCCTCACTGCCGTGTAGTTGTTTCTCGCATTTTTGTATCGCTGGTATGTTTGGGGGTTTGGCCTCTTCCTGTATTGATTCCATTTTTGTGTCTTTTGGTCTCTGGCCCTCTCGCAATTTCTGTTGAACTAATCCTGTTTCCTAGTTCTGCATCTCTGTTTGGTATA